GATAGCACGGGGGGGAGGGCGTTTGCCCTGCACGCAGCAGACCTGGGTTCGATCCCCTGCATCCCATAGGGTCCCCCGAGCAATACCAGGAGTAACTCCTGAGCACAGAGCCAGGAGGAATCCCTGAGCATCGCTGGGTGTGACCCCAAAGTAAACAAAGAGTCAGAGATTCATTACCAGGACTGTTAGCACACTCCTTTAGAGACCCACATACCCGGGGTCATGGGACAATCTCTCGGTCAGGGGTTGCCACAACCCCAGAGACAAGAGTGAACCCTGAGACCATCGGGTGTGGCCCCCCAACACCAAACGCTGAAACCAGACAGAAAGGGGCCATGCATGGGTCTGTGTGAGCCCGCTGGTCCCCACGCCACACCCCACCCTCCCCCACAGTTCCGCGGACCCCAGTCAGCATCCTTTCTCTTCCTCCTACATCTTTCAGCTGGGATTCACACAGGGACCTGCCTGAATCCGGGGCAGGCCCACCCCCACGCCTGGGCCCAGTCAGCCGACCCTCACCCCCCACCCCTCCTCCCGCCCCTGCTGGCCTATCCCCTCTGCTGCTCGCGGTCCGGTGCCTGCCTGGCTCTCAGGGCAGCAGCTGGCGCAGAGGCCGCGGGCAGGGTTACTTGGAGGCTTCACTCTCCTGCGAGAGCAAGAGGGAAGGATGGTCTTGTGGGGTTCAGCAGCCCAAGGACGCCTGGCCAGGGGATGCGGCGACAGAGAAGGATGAGCAGGACCTTCCTTGCACGTGACTAACCTTGCACCACACATGGTCCCTGAGTGCAGAGCTGGGACTCAGCCCCCAGCACCGATGGGCGTGTCCCCGAAGCAAACTCAAAAACAGAAGGCCAGGAACAGGGGCGGGAGGGGGTGGGGGGTGTCCCTCCGCAGTGACCCTGAGGACACACCCGGCGCTGAGCGGAGCCGTGGGAGGACCCCAAGTGGCCGTGGCGGGAGGGACGTGTGGCCTGGCCAGCCCCACTCTGCAGATGTGGATGGGAGCCTGTGGGACGGGGACAGCAGGGTTCAATAAAGAAACGGCGCCTCGGGGCTATGAGGGGGGGGGGGGGCTGGGCCTAAGCTCCGTCCTGGTGGGCAGCAAGGCAGGGTGGGGACTGTGGCCAGCCAGGACCTGCAGGCCAGTGAGCTGGAGACACTTGGGACAAGCCCCCAGGACAGAGCTTGTGACGACCCCCCACGCCCCGGCAGGCCACCCACTGCCGACAGCTGTCCCCTGGGTGGGGCCAAGGCAAATGCGCAAGCCGGCCTTGGCGAGCTTCGGCTTCTGTGTTTTTCTCTATACCCGGCCCATATTTTTTTGCATCAAGTGCGCATTATTTTCCACTGAGGACAGAGAGGCCCTGCCCTGGGGCGCAGGGCCTGCTGGGATTCCAGGGGTCACCGACCCCTGCAGTGAGGTCCAGTGGGGGACAGACTGTCTGCCTCTCTCCCTGCTGTCCCCTCCCCGGCCTTCATCCTACATCTGCTCACCAGGGTCAGGCCCTGGTGACCCAGGTCGGTATGGGTGTAGGGCCGCAGGGAATGCATGTTCCAGAAGCAGGGGGCTGCGCCCACACAGCCTCGCGGCCAGAAGACTAGGGAGTCCCCCTCATGGACCAGGGGCACCCGCTCAAAGGAGGATAAGGGGGTACCCTCACGCACCAGGGCTGCTTTCCATGGGGGGGCACCAGGGAGGCACCGGGGTTCAGGTAGAGCCCCTGGCCGGGGTCCCTCGTGGGGATGTGCCACATCAGACTGGCCACCAGGGCCCGCCTTGGCATGGACGTCCAGCCGGGTGGCTTGGGATTGGCACAGGCGGGGCCTGTGCTGGCTCCTTCTGCAGGTCTCTGTGCCGGGCACTGCGCCGGGCGCCGGCCACCAAGGGCAAGTCCGCGAGTCCACAAGCCTGGTGCCAGCTGGCAGCACCCCAAAACCCGCCGTCTGAGTGGTCCGCCTCCGCCCCAGGAATGTGCCTGCCCCCAGGGCGACACTTCGGGCTGGAGTTGAGGGAGCCCGGGGGTGGGGGGTGCCAGCCTGCATGCCGTGTGCCAGCAGAGCCAGCCCGGGTGCAGGGTGCCAAGGTGAGACCAGCCCAGAGGGAACGAAGAACTGACTGGCTTTAGATTTGGGGGCTGGCGCTTGCCTGTTCCCCATGTGCGGTCAGACTGGGCGCACCCGGACCCCGAGAGGGCGAGACCGAGCTGACGGCCCCTGAGTCAGCCCTGAGATGGGGCTGTCAGCCCGGGTACTGTCCTCGTGGGTGTGTTTGGGTGCCGCAGAGCTCGTCTCACAGGGTGAGTCTTGCAGCCAGCACAGGACCAGGCCCTGGGCAGCCCCTGGCCTGGCCTGGCGCTGGCAGAGGAAAGGGCGCGGTCGCGGTGCTGGCCACCTGCCCCCAGCTGCCCACCCATCCCCTCTGCCCGCCCGCCTCCCCCAGGGAACCTCCTGCAGGACCCTGGCGGGAGGGGCCCTGCCTGGCCTCTGGACAGCGTCTGGCTGCAGGGTCCCTGGCAGGCCAGGCCCCGCAGAGGGCGCAGGGGGTCCCCTGCTCCAAGCCTAGTTCAAGCCCAGGCTTGATGGAGCAGCCGGGCGAGGTGACCAGGGCGGGCAGCGCCTGGCCGCTCCTCACTGGGTCCTCACGCACATCCTGGGCCCGGAGTTGGAAAAGGTCCCAGGGTCTCTGAGCCCCCCCAGTCGGCGACGCCCCACACTCAGGCCTGAAGTCTGGGGCGAGGGCATGCAGGAGGGACAGTCACGTGCCCACAGGCTGTGGTCAGGAAGAGCTGGCCTGGCCTGTCGAGGCAGCACCATGACCTTCCCTGGACACAGGTACACAGGGGGCTGCTGGGAGAACCAGCTGATGCCCCATGTCCCCACCTGTGCCCATCTGACCCTGTGCTACGTGTGAGGACACACCTGCCTCTCCTGAAGCAAGGCAGCTCCAAGGGAGAAGCAGGAAGAAAACAGCGGCCTCAGCTGTGCCGATCATATAGCAAGGAGGAGGCATCCTGGGGGCATGTCAGTGGCTGAAGCCCCCAGGGTGGAGGGAGTCCAGCTGCCTCAGAACCCACTGGGACCCCCAGTGCTTCCTGGTGGGGCAGGACACCAGCCGAGCACGGGGGTGGGCTACTGGGCTCCTCCACACCCCTTAGCCCCAGAGACAGGGACCCGGCAAGGCCGGCCCGTGTCACAGCCCGCAGTGCACCCTGAGTGCATCCCGAAATTCCTTTCATCTTTGTTTTGATGGGTGAAGTTCAATGCCAGAATAGCCGGTTTATGAGTCATGGGGGGGGGAGGGGTGTGGAGGCCCAGGAAGAAGAGCAGAAAAAAGCGTATTCTGCAAAAATGGGAAATGGGGTTCAGTGGGTTACCCTGAGGAAAGAAGCAAGTGTCAGGAGAAGCCCCGCAGGGCACTGCGGTTCTGTGCCCCTCCCCTGCCCTTCCTCTGCGCCCCAGCAAGGACGGCAGAGAGGCCTGCGGGGTCCCCCCTGCCCTGCCCAGCTCCCCGTAGGAGTCTAGGGGCACCGGCAGCCCCGGCAGCTCAGCGCCTCGCTCCTTTCTCAGGGATGAGTGGGCAGCCAGGAGAGACCAGTGGGGACAGAGCTCGTCCCAGGACATCCTGGCCCGGAGACCTCAGAGGCCCCGGGGCCAGCAGGAGTGACCCCCAAACACAGACCTGAGGGAGCCACTGATCACTATGGGCTGAGCCCAGAACGGAAATGCAACAGCAGAGAACTGAAAATCAACACTGTCCACACAGAACACTCATACACACATACAAACACACATTCATATGCACACACACACAGACACACTCATACACACACACGCAGACACTCATACACACAGACACACACTCATACACACACACACAGATGCAGACCGATGTGCACCTGTAACTCCCAGGTGCCCGTTTCCGCCGTGGATGCTTCTGACTCGCAGTTTCTCGGCCAGGGTACCCTCCAGTGTCCCCCTCTTGGGCCCTCAGTGTGTCAGGCCCCGTCCGTGTTACTTCCTTGCACTATAAAAAGCCTCCGTCCGAGGCCCTGGGGAGCGCACATCCTCCCGGGGGGCCTGGGCCTGGCTGAGAAAACTCGGTTCTCAGGACATTTCTCATGTTCGAGCCTCAGGAGGGGTCCCCAGGGACCTGGAGACAGCATGGACGCCGAGAAGTGGCGGGGAGGGGCCTCTGTACTGCTGGGAGGTGGGCTAATAGACTACCACGCTGCGTGTGCTCGGTTGACAACATGGATGCTCAGCTGACACCGCGTGTGCTCGGCTGACATGTGCATGGGCTTGGCTGACAGCGTGTATGCTCAGCTTACACCATGCGTGTGTCCAGCTGACACCGTGTGTGCTTGGCTGACACTGTGCATACACTCGGCTGACACCATGCGTGCACTTGGCTGACACCACGTGTGCTCGGCTGACACTGAGTGTGATCTGCTGACACCATGCGTGCACTTGGCTGACACTGTGTGTGCTCAGCGAAGACCATGCAGGCACTTTTTGGCCAAGGATGCAGGAGCCAGTGGGGGCTGCCGGTGGGGCAGGAATCACACCTTGTCTGCAAGGGGTGCTGGCAGAGGGGGCAGCAGGGGACGGGGCTCCCCAGTAGGCCGTATTCCCAGGGGCTCTGGCAGCTGGGCAGGGACCCTGAGGGCCGGGCCAGGGACAGCAGTTGCCCCCCACACCCCCACCCCTTTGGGTGACAGGAACGCTGGAGGCTTGGTAGGTGAGCTTCCCTCTGTTCTGGTGCCCAGGTGGACGGGGACAGCTGATGTTTGGGGGGTTCGGGCCACGCTAGCCGTGGGGTCCCACCAGGCGGGACAGTCCTGCCACCCTCTCACCAGCACCAGGGAAGGCTGAAGCCGGAGCCGCGTAAACACAAAAGCTGGCGAGGGCGCCCCGTCAGGCTCCAGGACAGGGCCCGACCCACGCCCCCACGCCCCCCGGGGGCCCCGCAGCCGCCCCGCCGCGGGAAGGCGCCCACTCACCTCGGGCGCGCCTGCGTGTCCTGGCCGCGGGGCTCAGAGCATCTCCCGGAGGTGGGTCCCGGGCCGGGCCGGAGGACGGAGAAGTCCTGGGAGGAGGCGGGGGCGCGGGGCGCGGGGGCGGGCGCGGGGACCTCTCGGTCCCGCAGCTCTGTCTCCTCGTCCGAGTCTCTGGCCCAGGCGGAAGCGCCGTTTTTCGAAAGTAAAGGAAGAGCGAGGGGCCGGCGCCGCGGAGCGGCCAGATGTGAGCCCGCCCGAGCCCGACGCCGCGCGGCGGCCAAACAGCAGGCGCCCAGGATTAACCGTGTGTGTGCCCGGCGGCCGCCCAGTCCCGCCGCGACTGCCGGCGCCAGGGTGCCCCCAGCATCGGCAAGCCCCTCCGGGACGGGGGACCTGGTGTGGAGGGCTGGGACCCCGAGGCTCTTGGGAGCCAAGGAGAGACACAAACAGCTCGGGGCCACAGGTGGCGAGGGGTCTCCTGGGCCGCGAGCCACCACAGGCAGGTGGGGGGACACTAGCAGCCCCCCTAACGGTGTTCCCAGGAGAGGACTGCGGTCACCAGATCAGGCTCCCCAGGAACCTCTGAGAAGGGGGGGATCAGGGGTCAGGGCTTGAGGCTCAGTCTCTGACGATGTCCCAGGCGTCAGCTGCCACCAACTCCATGTCGGCATGGCTGTCCCCTGCCCCCTCTTCCCAGAAGCTGCTCTGGTCAGGATGGGGCCAGGCTGACCTCCATCCTAAACTGGGTGCGACTGGATTGTTCTGGAATCTATCTTTATCAGCAGAAGAGGAAGGATCTGGGGGGGCGGGCTAGGGGCCATTTGCAGGCACAGAACTTTGCTGTGTGGACCATTTCTCTGTGCCCCCCGCCCCCAGCTGGCAGAATTCCCTGTATCCCGAGGCTCCAGCCCCCAGGGCCTGGCTCCCTGTCCCAGTGGGGGGACGTCTGGTGTATGCCCCCTGCTCCCGGCCAGGGTCACACTGCTCCCCCATGTCTGCAGGCAACTGAGGGCAGGGGACACCCCGGGACAAACAGCATGTCAGGGAGACAGGAAAAAGCAGCTGGGAGGACGTGGAGGTCCAGGGTGGGGCCCAGCCCCCAGAGCCCCCGGAAGCCACTCCCTTCAGTGGGGGGGTTCCCCAGAGCACCAAGGACACCCCCACCCCAGGAGGGCCGAGAAACTGGATCTGCAGCACAGAGGTGCTCATAGCTGCAGGCCACGGATCGTGCTGGCCAGCCCCAAGCTCAGCTCCCTGCAGGCAAGGCCTGAGGGCCACAGCCTGAGGGCGCACCCTGCCCTGGCACAAGAGGCTCTGCGCGGGGCTCACTCGAGGAGGAGGCAGACTGTGCTCCCTGCCACGTGGCTGTGGGGCAGGAGATCTGGGCAGAGTTCCCTGCTTGGTGCTCATCCCGATGGTGGCCTCACTGAGCAGTGCTCCACCCTCCGGCTCCCCCTACGGGCGCTAAAACAAACACATCCCCAGAGGTGACCAGGAAAGTCTGAATCTGCAGAGCCTGCACAGGCCCAGGGCCCGGGGCCCAGGTCCTGTGGGCGTCCAGGCAAGAGGCCCCGGTGGCCGTTGCTGGGGCAGCACTGGGTCTGAACAGCTTCTCTGGGAACCACCTGGGCCGAGCGGCACCCAGCCCCGCTCACGTCCTGTTTCTCCTCAAGAAGTCCACTTCCAGGGGGCTGGAGAGATAGCATAGTGGGTAGGGCGTTTGCGCACGCGGCCAACCCGGGTTTGATTCCCAGCATCCCATATGGTCCCCCGAGCACCGCCAGGAGTAACTCCTGAGTGCAGAGCCAGGAGTAACCCCTATGCATCGCCGGGTGTGACCCAAAAAGCAAAAAAAAAAAAAAGAAGTCCACTTCCAGAGTTTCACAACTGGCCACGTCCCTGGATCTGTGGGGGCTGGAAGAGCATGGCCAGCTCCCATCCTGGCTCTCCAGGAGTGACCCCTGAGTGCAGAGCCCTGATTGAGTCCTGGGCACCACCAGCTGTGGCCCCCAAACCGAAACAGTGGGGAAAAAATTTCCATAGGTGCAGCCTTCTGCAACGGGCCCAGGGGACAGGGAATTACTCACTCTCCGGGAGGCAGCCGGCGGGGAGGGGGCATGTTCAAGTGTGGCCACCAGAGCTGGGTTTCCCACGCCTTCCCGGGAAACAGGAGGCGGGGGCATGGGAGGTGGCCCTGCTCCCAGAACTGGCCAGGCCCATTTCCACGATGCCACCATGTGTGGAGCCGACCATCCACTGCAGGGCAGCCTTATAGCACAGCCAGGAGTGACCCCTGAGCACAGAGCTGGGAGAAAGGGCAGGGAGGGGACAAAAGGCCTCGGGCTGGCCCGGTACCAGCTCTGTCCACAGTGGCCCCCAAACCACCAGCCCAGAGTGGGCTCCACTCAGCAAACAGCTTCCTGTGGGCCTGGCCGGGAGTCAGGCCAGGAAGACAACGTGGGCAAGTCAGGCGCCAAAGTCAGCAGCGGGACCTTGGGGGGTTTCATCATCCTGGCGGGTCAGAGGTCAAGGAGGATGCCTGCGAAGAGCACCCCAGATGCCTGCCCCCACCCCTCTCTCAGGAGGCCTTGCCCGCTACTACCATGGATGGGGTGTCTCCCCTTGGAGCGCCTGGGTCAGAGCCCTGCAGGCACCCAGAATATTTCCAGGAATATTCCCAGCGCTCAGGCTGTGGGCGGTGGGGGGTGGGGTCCGTTTTCTGGCGTCGCTGCCCCAAGGGGCACAGACTATCCCCCAGTCCTGCGGTCCCCTCTCCCCACCACACGCTTCATCCGTTTCCTCGTGGCCGGGCAAAACCGGATGTCACCTCCTGCCTGGCCAGCCTGAGGGAATCTGGGTTCCAGATAAGGACAGGTCCTGGGGTCCAGCAAGGACAGGGGTGCAGGTGGACGCCCACTCCTTCCTCAGGGCGAGCCTGTGGATCCCCTCCCGGAGGGCAGCCGCTGACCAAGTGACCTGCGGGCAGCCCAGACTGGAGACGCCCACGGCCGGGTGGGGGAGGGGAGCCCCGTGGAGAGCAGCAGGAGACGCTGACGTGGAAACTTGGCAGCCGGACCAGCCTCCTGGCCGCGGGCCCGCACCCGTCCGTCACTCCTGGGCAGCGGAGGCTCCAGCAGGCGGGCAGCAGGGCCAAGCACTCACCCCTAGGGACCTCAGGCCTGCAGGAGCCCTAAGCAGGAGTCTGGGGGCCAAGAGCAAAGCAGTGACCCGAGTGGGCTCCCACTGTCGCAAGGATGCTGTTGATCCCCCTGGGGACACTCAGTGGCCTGTGCTCAGTGGCCCCGTCCCGAACGGCTCACCCCCTGGTGTGGGGAGTCCTTCTTTGTGGGTTCATATCCCCCAAGTAAAAGCAGGGTGGGGAGTGTGTGGGGGAGGCCGTGCGGGTTCCTTTGATAAATAAAATGGGAGCGCCCCCTGGCGGCCTCGGGGGTTCCGGGCGAGCGACCAGGGGAAACCGGTAAACGCTGGCACGGGAGCAGCTGTGGGGTCCGAGCCCAAGTGCGTGTCCCCACAGCCTCCGTGCTCCCACGAGGGGCCCAGGGAGACGTCAAGGAGGGAATCAGGGCTGGGGTTTCACACACGACCACCCCACGGCCAGCATCTGTCCCCTCCAAGCTCTCTTGATGGCTTGTTTCCGGTTTGGGGGTGATGCCTGGTGACCCTCAGGGGCTCTGTCCAGGTGCTGAGCTTAGAGGAAGCTCTAGGTGGTACCCAGGACGTGCTGCAGTCAAACCCTGGCAGCTGCACTCAGCCTGTGAGTGCTCTTCCCGCTCCGGGAAACCACTCCCTTGCAGTGACCTTTTTTCTAGGAACTGATCCTGCAGAAATACTTGCCATTGAATAGGTCCGTTCACAGAACAGCCTGCAGCCTTGCGGGAAAAGATGGGAGCTATCTAGGGGGCCAGGAAAATGCATTACGGTACACCGACCTGGGTTAAAACATTTGCAACCCTTCTTGAAAAACATCCAAGTACTAACCAGTACGTCTTGAAAAACATCCAAGTACTGACCTTGAAAAACAAGGGCTGGAGCGATAGCGTAACGGGTAGGGCGTTTGCCTTGCTTGCGGCCGGCCTGGCCGGGTTCAATTCCTCCGCCCCTCTCGGAGAGCCCAGCAAGCCACCGAAAATATCTCCCTTGCACGGCAAAGCCTGGCAAGCTACCCGTTATGTATTCAATATGCCAAACACAGTAACAAGTCTCACAATGGAGACATTACTGGACCTGCTCGAGCAAATCGATGAACAACAGGACAGTGCAGTGCAGTGCTACAGTGCTTAAAAAACATGAAAGACTGGAAGCAGGGCAGAGAAATGGTCTTTGTCAGGTAGGAGTCCCAGGCTCAAACTCCGAGTCCCCTCCTATCTTCATATGGCCAGGGGTGACCTGAAAGCCATTAAAGAAACTGAGAGGGCTGGAGAGAGAGGACAGTGGGCACTTGCCGTGCACATGACCAGCCCGGTTCGATCCCTGGCACCCCATATGGTACCCTGAGCACCTCCAGGAGTAAGCCCTGAGCACTGCCATGTTTGCCCCCAAGAGAAAGAAATAAAGAAAAGGAAAGCAAAAAAGAAAGAAGCAAAAAAAAAAAAAAGCCACGTTCTTGGGTAGAAAACACTGTATGAGGGCCAGGGCGATAGAAAGAGGGGAGGGCACTTGCCTCTCACACCGCCAAGGATCCATCCCTATTATCCCGTGTGGTCCCCTAAGCACCACCAGGAGTGATCCCTGTGTTCAAAGCCAGGAGTAAACTCAAGAGTAGAGGGTGTGTGATCCCCGAAAAACTAAATGCCTTATCATAAAATCTCATTTCCTGCCCTACTCAAAGCAATTCCATTCAAACTTCCAAAAGATTGGGGAGGGTGGAGGGGTCATAAGAGAAGGGAGGGTGTCCTACAAGCCAGGAAGGCTTACGATAAGAGACAATGAAAAGATAGCTATATCTGGGCTGGAGAGATAGCACCGTGGGTAGGGCGTTTGCCTTGCACGCGGCTAACCCGGGTTCGATTCCCAGCATCCCATATGGTTCCCTGAACACTGCCAGGAGTAACTCCTGAGTGCAGAGCCGGAGTAACCCCTGTGCATCGCCGGGTGTGACCCAAAAAGCAAAAAAAAAAAAAAAAAGAAAAGAAAAGAGAGCTGTAAAGGATTGGAGAAAGTGTAGGCCAACATGCCCTTGAGCAAACCTTCTCCAG